AGGGGGCTCAACACACATCCCTGAGGAGAGCCAGTGCTGAGGGTTATGGTGGAGGAGGAGAGGTTGTGGATCCTCACTAACTGTGGTCTGTTTGTTAAAAAGTCTAGTACCCAGTTGCAGATGGAGGGGCTTAGTCCTAGTGTGGATAGTTTGTCCATCAGGGTTTGGGGGATCATGGTGTTGAAGGCGGATGTGAAGTCCACAAAGAGCATACGGACGTAAGAGTTTTTCTGCTCCAGGTGGTTGAGCGCAGTGTGGACCACAGAGGAGATTGCATCCTCTGTTGATCGGTTCTCACGGTATGCGTACTGATCAGGGTCCTCGTTGATATTGATGGTTGTTTTGAGCAGCAATACCAGAATGGTGTTACTCAGCGTAAAATAGCAAAGACTTTTAAGTTATCATCATCAACAGTGCATAACATCATCAAAAGATTCAGAGAATCTGGAACAATCGCTGTGCGTAAGGGTCAAGGCCGTAAAACTCTACTGGATGCTCGTGATCTCCGGGCCCTTAAACGTCACTGCACCTCAAACAGGAATGCCACTGTCAAGGAAATAACAGAATGGGCTCAGGAATACTTCCAGAAAGCATTGTCAGTGAACACAATCCACCGTGCCATCCGCCGTTGCCAGCTGAAACTCTACAGTGCAAAGAGGAAGCCATTTCTAAGCAAGCTCCACAAGCTCAGACGTTTGCACTGGGCCAGGGGTCATTTAAAATGGAATGTGGCAAAATGGAAGACTGTTCTGTGGTCAGATGAGTCACGATTTGAAGTTCTTTATGGAACACTGGGACGCCATGTCATCCGGACCAGAGTTTGTGTTCGTCCATACGAAGAGTACCTCTGCGTATGGACGTACGTGGGAGTATACTGGGGGCTTAAAGTCTCAGTATACTCCCACGTACGTCAGTCTGCGCGTAACTGATTACAGCCGAAGCGGACGCCTGCAGGGCATGTCCATGCAAAGCTCAATTTTTACGATCGCGTACGCGGTGTTGCACAATAAACTGCCCGGCGACGGACTGTTTTGTATGCGACACCAATATATTAAATTCCCCTTCTTCATCTCTGATCTGGCCTTTTCTTTTGTTTTTTTGCCAAGAGGCAGTGATCTCTTCCTCCGTTGATGCCATGACTGAAATGGTGAGAAATGAAGGAATTTGTCACGATCAAGTGAATTAAACTCAGGTCCAGCGTAGCTGCGGGAGGGTCTGGAGATTTCCTGGAGGGCTGGTAGGACCAGCGTTCCCTGTTTTTTTTAATTTTTTTAATTTTAGATCTTTTCATTAACAACATATAAACACAGAACACCGCTACGGCTGAGGCTGCCAGCGCTCGTTGTTGTTGTTTTTTTTAACCTGTCAATTAATCCAGTAGGCGTGTCAGCAAATGACCAAGTGGCAACCTCAATTTGTCTTGAAGGTAAACGTCCCTTGTCTGCGGAGCTGCTCTGCAGCCACTCAGGGTGGACGCTCAAGTATGAAGTCTGAACCCTCTGCATACAGTACACACGTATATCCGTCCACACGGACGTACGTGGGAGTATACTGGGGATTTTAGACCTTATTTACACGGACACGGTGGGGGAAACGCCCCCTCATACACTGAAAGGTTGAGCTCCTCTTCTGTGAAGGAGGAGTCTAGGACTCTATAAATGAGTAATGACACGGGACATCAGGGCTCTTCCGGGTCTGTGAACGCGTCACAGACTGGAGAGACCAGCGCTGTACACTGTAACCTTTTCCTGCCTTGATTTTAATACAATTGGTAAAACTTAATTGACGTTTCCTTGATTTATTGATAATGAGAGTTGCCACTTGTGAGGGAGATTCAAGCTGGGGGGAAAGACGTGGGCTGGAGGGGATTTCCGGGTCGGTGGCCCGTAGCCAGCTCTTGTCTTTAACAAGACATATGCCTCACAAATTCCCTGGTGTTTACACCAAAGTTTTAAGTGATCATTGTGTAATAGCGGCTCTCAGAGACATTAAACTTCCACAGTCTTAGGGGCCGTTTACACGGCGTGTATTTTGAGTGCATCCGCTCCTTCCTCTCTGCGGTTCTGCTGATCATTTACACGACACCAGTGGCCCCCCTCTATGAATCCAGAGGTTTCTGAACCCACCTTCCAGAGTGGAGGTTTTTCACTGACCCCCCGCTGATAAAGTAAACATCTCCCGCTGAGGCTTTGTGTTAAACCACATGCGCACATGCACGCGTGAACAGACGCTATATTTTTATCAACATGGCGGCGGACACACCGCTTTCAGAACCTCGACTGATGGAATATATTTTTAATCTCGTAGTTAATCTACGTCAGATTCAGGTGCTGTGACCAACATCTGTGTTGGAAGAGACACAATCTGATCCAGGTCTGATGTCGCTGTTTATAGAACGAGGCACGCGCACACGTCGCGCTGCACTATAACATTTAAATGTGCTAAATAATGTTTAATAATAATAAACAGTATTTATGTTAGTGTGAGAGATAATGAAGCTCTGAGCTAAATGAAGCTATCTGGACATAATGTAATTCAAATTTTAAATGATGCTTAACATGTTGAGTGAACACTAAAGTTGAAAATGAAGACATGAGGTTTAATTTTTTATTTATTTATTCAACACCACAAACTGTATGTCACACAAACACTGATAATTAAACTGAACACTATTAAAAACAAGTTAACAGTAAACTGCATGAATGAACTGGACTCTTGTTTTCATCCTGGATGTTCCACGTTGTTCATCTGGCTCGTTCAGGAAGTCACTCCTTTGATTAATGCAACTTAAAATATTCAATGGATTGATTAAAAGAACTGAGGGGAATTTTAAATAAATAGTTCATCCAACATCTCTCTCTTAGACGTCCTGCTGCCGAGCCTCGTTCAGAACCGGTCCCCCTGGTGGAGGACAGCTTCTTCTTCTTCTTTCAGGAAAAATAAAAACTCAGTTGGTTGTTGTGTGATCAAAGTAAACACAAACTAACATTATTAAGAACATTTGATTTACCTGCTGTAAATCAGCTACTGATTATCACGGAGTAAAGTCCGACATCGTCGACTCGGTTCTGGTCCACTCAGCGACCGGTGTGGAGCTGTTAGACGAAGCGGTCCCGCTTGTGTCAAATCTGTCGACTCTTATCCACAATCCAGCTTCAACTTGTTGTTACGTTGTTGTTAGCTGAACTTTTAGCCCAGAGGAAAGGAGCGTGCCGAGGCAGCACACATGCGAATTAGTGAAGGTACAAAATTCACAGCGCCATCTAATGACCCGGCATGGTAACTACAGCGGATTCGGGAGGGCGGGGGAGAATCCTCTGGATGCATGTAAACACGTAATCCGTCCGTGTCAACGAAAATCTTTTCCTCTAATTAACATACGAAAAAACCTACGTTTCCCCCATCGTGTCCGTGTAAATAGGGCCTAAGCCCAGATTAATTCAAAAAAGGGATTTGAAACGTTTTTGTGAACAGTCTCTGGGATCTGTCTCACTTTGACTGGAATCATATTCTGTTAACTGATGACATGAACTCCGCTTGGAACTATTTCCATAATAATTTCATTTATTTCCTGAACAAACATGCTCCTTTTCGTCAGTTCAGAATAAAGGGACGAGACAGCCCCTGGTTTACTCCAGAGCTAGCTGACCTCCTGCACAGGAGAGATCATCTTTGGGCTGCAGCGAGAAAATCTGACTCAGACACTGATTGGTTGAGTTTTCAACAGATGAGGAATAAATGCACAACTGCTGTCAAAGCAGCAAAACACTATTTCTTATCTCAGACTTCCAAAAATCTAAATGACCCTAACAGATTCTGGAAAACCATCAAATCTCTCTCAGGCACCCCCCAATCATCTGACCTCCCATCACAACTTCTCGTTAACTCTGTTCCTGTGTCAAATAAGCACGAGATCCTGAACTGTCTCAACAAACATTTTGTTGCTTCTAGTTCTTTATTTGACACAGTTACTAATGGAAGATCAGCCACTTCACTTAATAACCAAACTTCTACAAATCAAATCCCTCCTACAAGTCAATCCTCAGTTAATCACACCTTCTCTTTTTCTCCGTTCTCAGTCAGTGAGGTCAATAAACTGTTAAAAGATCTTGATCCTAAAAAATCTGCAGGTCCAGATGAACTTCCACCTTATTTCTTAAGGCTGGCTGCTCATATCATCACAGTCCCTGTGACCCACATCTTCAATCTCTCCATAAGACAAAACTCCATCCAGACACTTGAAAACAGCCTTTGTTCTTCTTTGCTGAAGGGAGGTGACCCCACATCACTGAACAACTATGGACCAATCTCTAAACTCTGCATTTTAGCCAAGGTTCTAGAAAAACTGATAAACTCTCAAATCAAAAATGACCTGAACTCATTTAACATCTTACCTCCACATCAATCTGGTTTCAGGAAACAACACAGCACAACCACTGCCTCACTGAAGGTTCTTAATGATGTTGTTGAAGCACTGGATGCTAAGGATTATTGTGCTGCACTTTTCTTAGACCTGTCTAAAGATTCTGACACTGTGGATCAGAACATCTTGTGTCATAAACTCTCAGAAATTGGTTTCTCAGAACACACCATTGGTTGGTTCTTTAACTATCTTTCAGACTGGAGACAATGTG